TGGAATTTCATAAAATATAAGTACGTTTGAGCTAGCAATCTAAGCCGAAAGCAGGATGAAAATGGCGTAAGTAACTCTGCGGCTGTGGTTGCAAGCTCAGAGATACCAAATTTCCTATTGAGTTTTATCAAAAGTTTAACCAACAGAAGTCTTCTTTAACATTTCAGTCTTTATCGCACAAGTTACTGTCATTCCTATCGAAATAGTTCCTAATTGCTGTATCGCATTCGATTCATAAAGACGTGACGTCTTGGTGGAACAGCTATTCCTGAGAGCGGATAAGAATTCGAAAAAATAGCGATATCATCGGCGATGATTTTCCCAGAAATATCGTGTCGTATTAGTAACATCCACAATAGATAATGCTGGCAGGGATTACTGTTGCGAGAAGGTTAAGAAAGCGATGAGAGTATTGTTTAAGATGGCAATATTTCCGAAATGTGGTTTTACATTGTTCAGTACAAATTGTTAAACTTTTGGGAAAGCATTGCCTTATTCGTAATAATTATGAAGCATATTCATAGTTGAAATAAAGTCGATGCAGTAAATATTTTTAACAGATATTCTGTTAAAAATTATGTCAAAAAGCTGCAGCTACTTAAGTGTTGACTTTATATTGACTATGAATACGCCACATTGTTATTTAGGCAATATCATACATATACATTAGACTGCATAACCAAAAGAAAGTTGCGGCTTTTCCGCCGTGATTACAAAATTTATTATATTTTAAGACGTCCACCACAATATTTCGGAAAAATATTAAGATTTGAGCAAGCTGACCGATTTTAAAATACCTCCAAAAATGGAGCTTTTTATGAAAAAAAATAGTTTCTTAAACTATGTTCACATATCAATATTATTTCAATCAAAGCTCGTTTTTTAATCACCACGTTTACACAGGCAAATCTCAGATTATCCGCCGTCAAATTTNATAAATAAATAAATAAATAAATAAAGCTCGTTTTTTAATCACCACGTTTACACAGCCAAATCTCAGATTATCCGCCGTCAAATTTGTTGTGCTTGTTATTCTCACATCTCAAGGAAAAGTTATGTTTCTTCCCTGTGCCACCGTGATCACGTTTTTCTGCTATAATAAGCAATATAAATATATTTTAACTTAACATTTTATTAAAAATACCTTTACAAACCTCTTTTACTTGCTAGCGTACATATTTGTTTACTTTTACATTTGGCATTTCTCCTCTCTTTCGCAAAAACAATTGATAAAACTAGGATGGACACCGAAAAGTTATCGGTTAAATCTGAGATTATTTTATAATTACAGATTAACAAGGGACGAATTTTATATGGCTAATCTCTTGTTATAATTACAGATTAGGGTGTTAAGCTCGAAAATGAGGATAATCTACTTATATGTGAACCTAGTATTAAAGAACTTTTTGAAAAATGTCACCTTAGATGACAAAACAGATTACGCTTAAAAAATCTACATAAAAAAGTTTAAAAAATCTTTTCACCGGAATCGTAATAATGAGATTTTTGATGCTCTTTTTTTACTTTTTTCAAACATTGATTTACGAAAAACTAAAATAACTGGGCCAAAACTACTTTGATGTACACTTATGGGATCTCGGTAGAAAGGTATTTTCCCACTATTGTTATTTATGTGCAAAAAAAAGTCATTCGTGTCCCAAGTTTTTTTTTCAAATAGCAACACATCTTAATTCAACTTTGAATGATGTTCCTTCATCGTACTTTTCTCTTTGATCCTTTGAATGAGCTTGTTAGCAAAGAAATAAAAAAGGTGAAAAAATACCTTTCCAATGATACCTCACAAGTCTAAATCGGAAGAGTGTAGGTTCAGTTATTCAAGTTTTTCTTATACCATTCTTTGAAAAAAGTTAAAAAACAGAATCAAAAATCTCATTATTAGATTCCTTTCAAATTTTTTTTTAATTTTTTATATACATTTTTATACAAATTTTGTAAGCTTAAACCGTTTTGTCATTTTAGGGGATTTTTTCAAAAAACATCTTCAAGAAACTATTTTTATTCATAAAAAAACTCCATTTTTGGAGGTATTTTCAAATCGGTCCAGCTCGCTTAAATCTTAAATTTTTCCGAAATATTTTGGTGGACGTCTTAAAATATAATCAATTTTATAATTCCGATGGAAAAATAGCACCGATTTTTTTTTGTATGGGGAGTGGTGTAGTCTAATATACATATATAACAGCAATAATTTTTTTTTCTTAACGGTAAATGTATTTTATGTTGAAAGTTTAGTCTGAGTATATAATCGGTATTGGGTACCGAAAAGAAAGTATTGGGTACCGAAATCTTTTTGAAGTATTGGTGGTGCCAGAATATTTTTGTACCCTATCCCCATATCGGGCCGCAGTTATCCCCAAAAAATCCGCATTTTTTCTTTTAAATCCTCATTTAAATCCCCTTTAGTAAGAAATAAAAAAAGCATGTATTCACATTTGTGTTAGTTCATTTTAATCCAGTTTTCATTTTAATACAGTTTTCATTTAAACACAGTTTTCATTTTATTACAGTTTTCAATACTTTGCTCTACACATTTTCAAAAATTTATATATGTACATGTACATACGTACATTTATTTTCTTTTAAAATATAATTCAATCTACAACAGAAACAGCATAAATAAAAGTGTAAAGTAGTGTAATAAAGTAGAAGTCTCAAATAGCTAAAGAATACCATTTATTTTTTAGAATTTCTTTCGTGGAGGTTGTTGCGAAAATTGTTTGCTCAGTGAAAGCCAATCACAGCAGACATCTGCGCCGAATAATGTTTTGACGGCGTTAGGAAAACCTTACAAACATATCGCGCAAAAAGTATGTACTAATAAAATCTTTATTCGAGAAATTTTTATGGGCAGCCAGAAAAATATATGTTTTAATTTCAATATCAAAGTTTTAAACCAAACAAAAATCCCCACATCCCCAAACGAAAAAATCTATACCCAAATGGTTTCATAAATCCTCAAAATGGGGCAAAATCCCCACATCTGGCAACTCTGCACATCACTAACGATCTCGCCCGGCAGGCGCAACTGATATCGGCGACGAATGAACAAAATGTCAGTGACGCGTGTCTGTGTACGAACCTCTATGAATTTGCATTGCGGTAGTCGCTTAGAGACTAAAATCGTCGGGTATCAAAGATTTGCCTTGTGTAAAAAGGGCCTTAGTGAATGAAAATATTTTTAACAATGGGAGTGTTTACATATGTACAGTCACTCACAGAAGTATTCGTANTAAAAGGGCAGGTAACGCGCAACTGATATCGGCGACGAATGAACAAAATGTCAGTGACGCGTGTCTGTGTACGAACCTCTATGAATTTGCATTGCGGTAGTCGCTTAGAGACTAAATTCGTCGGGTATCAAAGATTTGCCTTGTGTTAAAAGGGCAGGTAATGCGCAACTGATATCGGCGACGAATGAACAAAATGTCAGTGACGCGTGTCTGTGTACGAACCTCTATGAATTTGCATTGCGGTAGTCGCTTAGAGACTAAAATCGTCGGGTATCAAAGATTTGCCTTGTGTAAAAAGGGCCTTAGTGAATGAAAATATTTTTAACAATGGGAGTGTTTACATATGTACAGTCACTCACAGAAGTATTCGTAAATTAGTTTTTTCACATAAATCTTTTTCGTTAATTTTCATTTAAAATATAGCCCATTCTATAACAAAAACCATATAAATCATTCTTGCAAACTTTGTACAAAATTCATAAAATTAATCGAACTTAAAAAAATGTTCATCAAAATTTCAAACTTTTTATTCTGAATTTGTAGAAAATTTTTTGGTATTTATGATAGAAAACATTTTGTAATATTGTGAAAAAACTAATTTACGAATACTTCTGTGGGTGACTGTATGTATATTTATGTGGAATAATACAGTGTGTTAAGAAATGATAGCGACCTAAAATTTTATATTTTCATTCATATTCCTGGGATATAATCGCGTACAAAAGTCCCACTTTAAGGCGTTTGTAAATGATAGCACCATTGAAGCAATAGTGTGGACAGGGGATTGGAGTTTCTCCATCTTTGATTTATAATATTATTTTTTTTTGGCGCCCTGCGCGCAGTTTGCCGGACATTTGTTGACATTATGTTTCAAAAGGCCACGCTCATGGGCGTACGTTACTTGCATGTTACAAAATAAAAATATATTTTAAGAATTTCAGCAACACACAAAAATAGAGCGTTCGCCCGAGCGTTTGGTTTTTCAACTGTAAAAATTTTACTTTGCATTTGGCACAGCAAAATTAAATTTATTTGTACATCATAACAATGTTTTCCACCCCGTCTCAGCACGGAGAAAAAAAGTTACCGATTCGCACAGGCCCAAATTTGCGAAATTTCTTTTCTCTGCTATCCGACGTTGGCAGAATGTCAGCAATCCTATCAACTTTACGCGATGTGATGCTCCTAAGGATTTACATTGAGTTAAGATTGGCAATCCATCATTTCCAAAAAGTTTTGGTGCCAACTTGCAAAACGGCGTTGCAAGAAATATTTCGTCATTCGTTTAATAATTGCAAAGCACAACATACACTCACTGCACTTTGCACCCAAAATTTTTGTAAAAAAGATCTGGCGCTTCCACACTTTAATAAACGCCATTTGTTAACTTTCACTATATACGAATATTAAATTTATTTGAAATATAATTTGTTTTCAGTGCTGTCATATTTTTTATTATTTTTTCATTCTATATTTGTTTAAGTAAATTTTTACATCTTACTGGAGTACCTGAGCTTCATATGGGAGGGATTTCGCTTTGCTCTTTTATACATATGAAACTCCGGCACTCTCATATGAATTGTATTTATATGTCAGGGCATGCAGGAGGGCGATAATTTGTTTTTAATTTAAAGTGTAAATTTGGATGCGTTCAGGGCAAAACAAAAACAAATGTGCTACAAGTACTTACGGAGTCAGCAGCTCTGTTCTAATTATTTGAAACTCGATGAAAAGAAATGTTACACAACATAAGCGTTGAACTTATATACATATATTTGGAAAAGTTACAATTAAATTTCTATGATCAAAAACAATAAACGTTGATTATATTTTACTCACGCTCCTGAAACTGAACGCGTAGTGTTGTTATCTATATTTCAAAACAAGTAATCAAAACATTGGGTACTGTATTTCTTATATATAAAATCGTGTTTTTTAAATTAGAATCCAATGTTTTTTTAGACATATCGAAATTTCGTTTAAACTTTATTTAAAATACGTTTCGGCATATCGGACATGTTGATTTACTGCTAGTTGTGAACCACTTGTACTGAAACGGGAAAATATTTGAATTAGTTGATTATCAAATTTATTTTTTAGGCTAGTGTATACAGTTAATTAGTAATATTACAATAACAGTTATGTAATTTTAAAAATAAATTAAGCGCCATACACACTTTTGGTAAGTGATAGGCCGAGTTTCTGCTCCAATATGTGGTGTGCGTCTTGATGTTGTTACACAAATGGAGGGCCCTATAGTTTTACGCCGCGTCGAAACAGCAAATGGATTTCAAGAGAAGCAATTTCGAGACAGAGAGCATTTTTTTTATTTAGAAAAAGAAGCTAAAGATATTTGTATAGCGGTGAACTACCACAATATGAAGTACCTCCTGGCAACACGTTAAAAAGTCTTCGCGTCTTGGGCCACTGTTAGCAATTGTAAATTTTGAGTGAATAAGGACTTTGTTTACCTAGGATCCAATTTTTGTTTGGTATCAGCCCAAACCGATGAACGGTTGTAGAATCAAACAAGAAAAAGAAAATTAAAGAAAATTTCAAGATAGAAATACACTCATATATTTGGCATTGCCTGTCGCTATTAGAAAACCTGTTTTTTCTATTATTAGTCCTTTCATTAGGCCCTTCACATTAGGCCGGGTCGATTGTGTATGGGGGAAAATAAAAGGCATTTGACCGTATTGTAATAGTAATATTATGATGTCTTAGGTCTAAGCCAATTGTTATTGGCCACGAAAGATTAATTTAAAACTTATTTTTAGCCCGCGTAATTGCATCAAAGTCTATGAATTTCGAAAATGAAACTTTGGCTAGTAATATCTATGGAATGCGTTAATTTTTATACACTAGACGATATATCAAATTAAGGGTTATTAAATTTATTACCTCACGTTCATTTATCATTTTTCAATAAGTCTACAAGATATTAAGATAAAACTTACAAAAACTATAATTTGCCCTTATGAATTTTCAATTCTTCATTACTCCAGCAACCAAGTGAAAAATAAGAAAAAGTGAGACGATACTTATTTCAAACGTTTCAAAGTTTTCGGATGTTTATATAATCTTAAAACGACCATGTACTTGGCCACGCCGATTTGGTCAGTTTTCAAGATCGTGCTGAATAAAGTCAAACATGTATTATCCAAGGTTAGGAATCGGTTGATAAGTTAATAGTAGTTTCGAGCACATTAGTATTTACATACATTAACAAAATACAATAAGGGTAAGAAATTCCCATTTTAAGTCCATTTATGCAGTCTTGAAAATCGGAGCGGAATGGTTTCATTAGTCACCGAAGAAGCACATTTTTTGCGATTTATAAATTTGCCGTTATATGAAAGTAGCGGACGTGCAATAAGTGTTAAGATATAAATATTTTAGTTAATTCCATTATGTGAAAAAGTGACTATAGGTAAATACAATANATTTATAAATTTGCCATTATATGAAAGTAGCGGACGTGCAATAAGTGTTAAGATATAAATATTTTAGTTAATTCCATTATGTGAAAAAGTGACTATAGGTACATACAATAGTCCTTAACATATCCTGGGAAATCCTTCTGAGGACTCTCCAATTGGACGATATTGCTTTGCATTCAGCTTGAACGAAAAAAGTCACTCCCTGGCACACATTTCTGTAATCCGGTTATTTTATTTAAAAGTTATTTATACAATTGAATAGATTCTTTTTTAGAAAAAAACTGGAGATCCACTTAAGTTTTTCGATATAACTTTGGTAAAGGTTACTCGATCAGTACGTAATAATTACCAAATTGAAGGCGAGACTTACCGTTACTGATCTATGATAACACTGTACGGCAAAATCAACTTTTTTTTCTGGGTATTGGGCCAAACCAATTTTTTTTTAGGAGATTGAGTGATAAGTAAAACAGAGATTTCTCCGTATTTCGAAGTTAGCCTCCGAAATCGAGATATGGGCCTTTGAAGTTCGACCTTTGGTAAAAAATTATTTTTAATTATTGCATGTAAAAAGCAAAAAAGTAAAAATACAGACGTGGTCCGCCTTTTTCTCATATTTATATGGTATATAGCTTTTTTTGTGAAAACTTACATTACAGGTGCTATAACGGATCAAAAGGTCAGATCTTCGAAAAATTAAATTCCTTAAGCTGGGATCACACGATTTGTACATTTGGCTAAAAATTTGTCAAATTCATAGACAAATCATGTTAACGCTAAATTGCATTTGTCATTTATCAGAAAAGCCAAATATTTGCCTTCTTGTGGCAAATCAAAAACAACCCTGGTGGCCAAATCGTGTGAACGCAATGCTGCTACATAAACCAAATAAAAACTACGCAAATGACCAAATATCTGATTTGCCACTTGATGACAAATGCCAGTGACAAATATACAAATATTGTTGAGCGCTATTGCCATTTCGTGCTTGTGAACCTTTGTATTTTCCAATTTTGGTAAAATTTTAATATTTAATATAATATACGTATCCGAAAACTACCGAAAAATATCACGTTATTTGAAAACAGTAATTTTAAAATATTTGCTCAAACTTAACATTTGAAGACATGTGCATATACGTATTCGACAGTAGCTGAGTGCGTGCGACTATTTGTAAGCTTTCATGAGGTCCCAGGTTCTTATGCCGGCATAGGAACATATTAAAAAGTATTTATAAAAGTATAATTAATTTCTGAGTATAATTAACTATGAAAAAGCATATGTGAAGTTCAGAATGAAAAATTTCAGAAAAACAACCGGAAAAGTATTCGTTTCACAACCCTTCGTGGCACTTTTCTATTCACCTTTCTTTCTGTTTTCGGATCCCTTCCCGCTGTTTTTGCTGGCTATACACATATACATACATGCATATCGTCGCATAAAGTACAAAACCGCGTATCGTCATTCTCCAAAATCGCGTAACTGACATTTGCTGCCAAAAATTGGATTTGCTTACAGAAGCTGTTGGCTCAATCCTTATCCATTCGCTCTAAAATATACTATCCAGAAATGCGATTGCTTTATAAAAAAAGAGAACCATTTTGAAATATGAGTGTTTTTACTATCTAGATAATAATTTATGCGACCTCACATAGGCGGCTTGTCATTTTGTTGATACGCGGTTTTGTACGACGATATACAGATTATTAAAGACGATCTAAATAACACTGTGTGACAGAAAAAAATTATATCGTTTTTTCGAGGCTCACACTTGTTGTAGGTCTATTCAAGCAGTAAAATCGGCATACTCAGAATTATAAATACACCCCCAAAATCTGGGCTTAAGGTAAAAAACCGTGTTTTTCAAAGGGTGACGCACAGGTATACTTGCTCGTAACTTTATTTCTGTTTACTCGGTGAAAAATACGTATATATGTATGCGATTTAAGATAAGACATTTCGCTGCTTACAATAATGTTTAAGTTGATAATTTATCTTAAGAGATGGCAAAGGAATCAGTGGTCGGACTTAAAAAAATTTGTGTGGTAGAATCTGG